GTGGATTGTCGGAGTCTCGTAGATCCACCGATTCCGCCGAATTATTTCGGGAATTGCGTTTCGGCTGCGTTTAAAATGGCGTTCACGGCGGAGGCGTTTATGGGTGAAGAAGGGTTTGTAGCCGCGGCGCGATTGGTAAGCGATTTGGTTGAAGGGTTAGATGAATCGGTGGTGTGTAAGATTCCGGAGCTTTTGGCTGCGTTTGCGACTCTTCCATTAGGAGCACAAGTTCTGTCTGTTGCCGGTTCGACCCGGTTTGGTGTATACGGGTTGGATTTTGGGTGGGGAAAACCGGAGAAAGTAGCGATTGTATCGATCGATCAAGGAGAAGCGATTTCTATGGCGGAGAGTAGAGATGGAAATGGTGGTGTGGAGATTGGCTTCTGCCTCAAGAAACATGAGATGGATTTGCTTATTGATTTGCTTCATGAAGGATTATTAAAGAAGTAATTAGTTATTATTACTAGAAAGGAAAAAATAATTGAAGAATTTTGTAATTTGATTTTGGTGGAAATTGTAGCTTTGCACTTTTTTTGTTAAACACTGTATGAATAAAATTTTCGAGATATTCAAATAGAACCAGCAAATTTTTGTATTGACTCACGATCAGGTCCGGCCCAATTGATCTTGATGTTCGATTCTTCTCGGGCGAGGAGGTGACTTGTCTCTAATATGTTGGTGGTTGAGATCGGTTTGGAGTATCCGCGCGTAAAAGAGTTTATGATCTTCTTTTACGTTTTCCGAAAAAATGTTCAAAGTTTTGTTTTTACTTTGTGCCTAGATGATCTTGAGGCCTCGTTTTATGATGAAGTAGTATCTTGGCTTTTTTCTCGGTAACGCTTTCATTTCTCTTGTGTTGTTGTTGGTTAGGCTACTATTAGATACGTCTTCAGGCCTGTCAGTCTTTGGAGGTGGCCTAGGATCGTGATTTTTCTAGAGACTTATTCTTTTTTGGCACAACTTAAGCTTCTTTAGGTTCCATTGAAAAATGCGTGAGATTGTTTCGTATCAGCTGTGCTATGTGTTTTGTGTCTAGGGTCCTTCTTCTTTTTCTCATAGGATTAGTTTCCCCTTTTCAGGGATTATGGCTTCAAGGAACTTGTATTCCGCTGACTTTCTTTTCTCTATCTCTTGCTCAACATCCTTGTGGCCTAATTTTTTTTGGTAATTTTGAAAAACATGGAAGAAAAAACATTCTTCTATTTTATGCTTAGATGTTTGACCTCCGTAGGTTACACTGTTTTCTCAGTACTCCCTGATGCTGATAATGTCCCTCCAAAAGAAGCATCAAAAGTTACGGTATTGCCTTGGATGAGCCTATTATTTTGTGGAAACCCCAATAAGCGTAAGAGCAGAGGATACAATTGTACGATAGATTCTGATATGCTTCACTTTGAATCTCAGGACCAATCCATAATATGATTGAATTATACAAGAAAAGGACATAACGGCATGGCAAACCTCTAATTCTAAAAGACTCTCTCCCTTTTAGTTAACCTTCCTTTCAATCTAGAATCTCCTTGAGCATCTGACCCAATATAAGATTCACCGGAGAGAGTGTTTTAGAATTAGAAGGTTTGCCATGTCGTTATGTTCTTCCTCTTGTATAATTCAATCAGCCTCGTTAACATTTAAGGTTAGAACCGGTTCTGTTTGAATTTTCTTTTGTCTCGTTCGATATTTGTAACATTCATACACCAACTTTTTTTTTTCGTTTACCAAAAAAAAAGTTGGTGTATGAATGTACACCAACTTTAATAAGGTGATTTTAGCAAATTTTTTTTTGTTTGAAGAAGGTGATATTAATGTTTTCATGAGATTTTTCTTCAAAAAAAAAAAGAGTTTTCGTGAGAACGAAAGCAAGC